CCATTCCTACAAAACTTTTGAAGTAGCAGAATTCTAGAAATGGAGATCAGATGAGTGGATGTTAAGATGTAAGGAAGGGAGTGGGGGAGGAAGGACATGGGCATTGTTTGTGAAGGAAATGGTCTATGCTGGCCTAGGTCAACACTTGGTTGAGATATGTACTATAGTTTTACAAAGTGTTACTACTTGGAAAACAAGATGAATGTATTATTCTTTTTTGTTGTTTTTTGTTGTTTTTGACACAGGGTCTCCCTGTAGCCCCAGCTGTCCTGGAACTCTATGTAGACCAGGCTAGCCTTGAACTCACAGAGCTCCACCTGCCTCTGCCTCCCAAGTACTTGGGACTACAGGTGTGAGCCACCATGCCCAGCTGAATGTATTATTCTTATAACTTAACATGAGTCTTCAAATATCTTGAGATAATAATGAAAAACCTAAATAAATAAGATTATTCATTTTGCTCAATTTAGATATTAATTCTGTATTTTAGGAATTTTCTGAATTTGTTGACAATTATGCTAGGGTTATATAATAAAATATCTTTGATTCTAGAAGATACACAGTGAGGTATTTCAGAGCTGAAGAACCTTGACTCTGCAATGCACCACTAAATAGTTCAGCAAAAAGAAAAAAATATATAGATATGTCTGTGTTGTTTTTGTGTGTATGAGGCTTAAAAACAATTAGGCAGTTGTACCAAAAGGTGGTTAATAGTGAGTGAAAGTCATGTGGTGTCATTGAAATATTTGTTTTCCTCTATGTGCAAAATTTATTTTTCAAAGTAAAATATTTAACAATAGATTTAAAAGGCCCTCAAACAATGCAGCAAATTGTGAGGAAAGACTGGGATAGAGAACAGATGTTGTGTCTAATCTGGTCTCTGTTATTTGTCCTTTGAACATTCAGCCAGGAAAGTGAAACTTAAGGTTGTGCTTATCTGCTTCAACTGAGCATCACCCTCTTTAGGGGAATACATTTACCAGAATGAATCAATTTATACTGTTAGAAGCAAACTTATTATTTATTCTTGAAGAGATGCAGAATGCAGTAAAATTTAGAGTACAAAAACATCTTGACAGAATTCAGAGGAAAATAGGAAAGAGCTGTGGAAACAGAGTCACATGAGACCACACGTGAAAATACTGCCAGTAGGTAGAAATATGTAAGCTGCTAAAAAGCTCCTCAGGGCCCCTGAACTACTTTTATGTTTGCTTGTTTGTTTTTGTTTTTTGAGACAGGGTCTCACTGTAGCCTCTGGGGCTTGGAACTCATTATGTAGAACAGGCTGGTCTGAATCTCACAGAAATCTGCCTGCCTCCCTGCCTCCTGAGTGCTGGGATTAAAGGCATGCATCACTAAACCTAGCTCTGAATTATTTTTGAAGTATTATGTTTCCATTTAAATGCTTTCCTTCCTAGCATTGAGAAAGCTCCCCCAAAGCACAATATTATTATTAGTCTTAAGAAAGAGACCTACCACCCATAATTTTGTTTTATATTTAAAAATATAAATTTGAGGGGCTGGAGAGATGGCTCAGCAGTTAAGAACACTGGTTGTTCTTGCAGAAGACCCAGGTTCAAATCCCAGCACCCACATAGCAGCTGACAGCTGTCTGTAACTCCAGTCCCAGGGGATCTGACAGCCTCTTCTGGCCTCCGCAGGCATTGCACGACACGGGTGCACTTACCTACATGCAGGCAATACATGCATACACATAAAATAAAAGTAATAAATAAAATAAAAATATATAAATTTGAAACCCTATAACCTGTATTTTTTTCCCTGTACAATTTAAGGGTAATCGCTCTCTCTCTCTCTTTCTTTCTCTCTCTCTCTCTCTCTCTCTCTCCCTCCCTTCCTTCCTTCATTTTTTAAAAAATCTTTTTTTTTAAAAGATCTTCCTGTAGCCCCAGCTGGCCTGGAACTCACTATGTAGACCAGGCTGGCCTAGAACCCACAGCAATCCTCCTGCCTCTGCCTCCCAGTGCTGGGATTGCAGTCATCTGCCACCACACCAGGCAAGAGTAAGTTTTCCACGAGATGTTTCATTTCTCTAATATCTTAGTGCGAAGTTTAGGTTTCACCAGTTGTCCCAATAATGTCCTTTACAGAAGAAAGATCCAGTTCAGGACCTGTGGCTTCTAATTATTATTCTAGTTGCTGCCATTCTGGAACTCACACCTTTCTTTGATTTTATGACCTTGACATGTTTCAAGAGAGCAGGTGGCTGATTTGCAGACTGCCTGTCACTTTGGTTACTGAGATGTCTTTGTGAGTGGGATCCTGACAGGGACATCACAGAAAGGGGTGTGCTCCCTTGGTTACAACCTCTTGTATGGCTTGTGATTGCACTGGTATGGACACCAATGATACCCATGGAAGGGCACTTCCCACTTTGTAATTAGCATCTCCATTGATTATATTGCTTACAGTTACAATGTAACATTCCATGTAGACTATTACTGGTAATTGATATGAATTTTGTGGGAAAGTGCTTTGAAGTTGTACAAATGTCCTGATCCTCAGTCTACTTTTAATTTACCCAGCCATTTGCTTTTTATTGGTACAATTGTCTTTTGTTTTATTGAGTGGTTACAATGTCACCACATTTATTTGGATGCTTAGTTTGTTCCAGACTTGGCCAGTGGGACCACCTCTCGCCTGGCTTCTGTATCCTTTAGAAACACCACCATATTTCTTTGAGCATTTCCTTATTGTCTGGCAGAAAAAGGTCCCACTCAGTCTCCTCTTGCGTCTTTCTTTGCATCAATCCTGGAACTACCATTTCTCTAAGTAATTATCACACCTTTTGAGAACTGACAATGAGAAGCTGGGATCTGGGTGCTAGATGTGCTTCTGGACCATCACCCTTCCCTGCCTTTCCAGGGGGCCGGTCTAGGGAATGCAAGCTCTTGGGCACATGCCCCCCTCCCTACTTGCTTCTTAACTGCATATTGAAAAAATCATGGACTCATACGGACAACTCTGATCTCATTCAGTGCTGCAGGGCTTGTCTCCCATTCTTCAACTCTGTTCTCTGAAAATTTCAGCTTAGGAACCACTCCAAACTTCTGCATATTTTTTCATTTGACCGTCTGTCTAGATATAACCAACCTCTCTCTACCAGCATCCTCTTACATATATTCCTCTCCCTGCCTGAGCCTCTTCACCACATAGAACCCCACTCCAGGCCTCTGGGTTCAAAGGCTCAGGCAGTGGTGCCTGTTCCAGGTGTGGGCGGATCCCTCAACCCAAATAGGTTCTGACACCCATGCTGGGTAGCCTATCTATGTTGACACCCTCCAGCGCTCTACCCCGGGCCACTGTGGAGATCCACTATATGGATGCCTATCTTCCTCAGCTTACCTAATGGTCTAGACCTGAATTTGTTCTAGATGGTAAGGAAAGGAAGGAGATGGAAGAGGAAGGGCCCCACAGGAAGTGTAATGGGTCCTTCTGTCATACAGGTGGCTCCAGTCCATAACCGACCCTAGTCCATTCTGTACTGGGGTAATTGCTAGTCACTTGGCTTCAACCAAGATTCAAACAAATCAATTGAATGTAAGGAGCTGTCTGCTAATAATCATTGGGAACAAATGTAGCTTGTTCTCTAGAACTCTACAGGTATATTTGGCAAAACATCAAGTTTTGCAACATCCTCTTTTCCCTCCAGTTTTTGAGGTTCCTGTTATGTACACCAGGGATGTAAAAGCTAGTCACATATCTGATTGGTCAGCAAATGTACTGAAGATTTAATATATTTGTCCACTATGTGCGCAAATGCCACGTTGTATACCCCAACCCCTGGTCTAGAGACAATGTGTCGCCCTAGGCAACATACTGTTTTCTATGAACAAACAAGGAAGTCCCAGTTTATTATTGACGTCTGTGTATAGCTCATGCTTCCAAAACACACACACACACACACACACACACACACACACAAACACACACACACAATTTGTATAACTTTTATGTTGTGATTAAAAAAAAAACACAATAAATTCTGGTGGAACTCATAAGGTCCTGTTAGCTTTGGGTTGGGGTGTGTCTCTGTGTGTGCATGTGTAAGTGTGTGTGTGTGTCTCACAGTCACATTTGTCCAGTGCTGGGAAGGGACTCCTCAGAAAGAATGAGTGTGTTTGAGAAAACCTCTCTAACCCCCTGTACATTTCTTCCCAGCAGGTAGGGTCCCTTCTACCTCCCACCTGATGAGCCTGCATATGTGAAATGCTTCTGGAAGAAGGTAGCACGGCAACTGAAGTGTGCACGTCCCAGGTCGTTCTAACCAGGCAAACCAGGCTCTTCTTGGGCCCTGTTCACTTCATCTGGTCAACATCTTCGTGCCCAGCTGGTTACAATGGTCTATTATTTTCCAAGAAGAGGTGGAATTGGTTAGAGGCCCTTTAGAATCTGGCTTCACCACTAACAACTGTCACCTTGAGTTGAGCACAACCTCTTTGGAATTTAATATCTTACCTTATAAAATTGGGATTAAAAGTAGAGCCGCCAGAGATTGTTGTATAGATAAAAATTAGGCCCAGAGCTTAACGGTGAGCCAGGCAATAACAACCTAGCAGATGTTAGCGCGGCTTCTTTTCTCCTCGGCGCTCCCGGCTGTGCAGAACGGTTTCTCAACGTTCACTGACTTAAGAAAGTATAGCACAGAAAGAAAGAAAATAACCGATGGCATTTTTATTACGAAATGCCAAACGGTTGCAAGACGCATCTGAGCGGTAGAAACCTAAAATTTAGATTAAAAGAAACGTGTGTCAGGTAGCTGGCGCCGAGTCCAGGCCTTGGGATGACGCAGGGATGCTGCAGGCGGAGGGAGGCTGGTGCGCTTCTCTCTCCAGCTTGAGTTTCACTTTCCTTTGGGTTCCTGGGGAAAACGAAAGCGTGGCGACTGGGACCTGGCCAGGCGGGGCCGGGGGCGTGGCCAGGCGGGAAGGGGCGTGGCCGGAGCCGGCTCCGCCGACTGAGCCGGGTAGCTTGAGCTGCCCAGGGCATAGTAGGTGCTGCTGGGCTAGGAGGCTGCAGCGCCCACTCGCTCTCCGCGCGCTCCGCTCGGCTCTGCGGTGTCCTCTGCCTGAGCTGGTCGCCGATCCCGCTCGGATTTGGATTTGGAGGCTTGACGCGAGGTGTTTGAGGCAAGTTTGCGATTAACTTTGGAAAAGCAGAGCTCTCTGCTCATAAGTCTCTGGATAATTAAAGGATTTACTTGGGCTCCGCAAATAACAGTCTGTATTTAATTGGAGTGAATATAATGGATCAATGAACCCCCCCTCCAAGCAGATATATTTATTTGGACTTTTAGCACGATTTATGTTTAATTTAAAAAGAAATCACAAAAGTGCTTCTAACTTATTAGAAATTAAAAATGCAGAGTTTGTCTTAATCTTTCACTAGGTATCATGCACACTTTATCAGAAAAATTTTATGTGTATCTTTAAAATTGTTCTGTAGTTTGCTTTTTGCATTTAGTATATTAACGACACCTTTCCATGCCAGGACATGATACGCTTTCTAACTGATGTATCATATAGGAAGTACGTTTTTATTTTAACAACTCATGGACATTTTGGTTATGTCCAATTTTTGTTGGTATAAATGATATAGTAATGAATACCTTTTTATATATGCACTTGTGGAAATCCACAAATACACTTGTGAAAAATTCCTGAAGGTGGAATCTGGGTGTGTATACTGAGAAACTGGAAAGGGTTTTGTCTGACCTCATAAATCAGAGTGTTTTAGTCTTGATCCATTTTCTCTGCCTCCTCCCTTCATCTTAATGATGATGAAAGACATTAAAACTCCAGTTTTAATTTCCAGTCATAAACTGGAAATCTGTGTTTGTGGTATTTAAAAACTAAAGCAAAGGATTTAATTTCAGATTTAACAGCACTGAGGTAGTTTATACATTGAAATCATTTCAGAACACAGAATAAGTACTTTTAAAAAAAGTTTTAGAATGTTTCCCATGAAGTTTTGTTTCAGGGCTGTGCTCGGTTGTGTAGTTACGTCCCTGTGCTCCTAAGAGCAAGTTGAACAGAAACTGACTTGGACATGGGGGTATACACCCCCTGACTCACCAAGTACTAGCAGGGAACTTAAAAGTTTTTTTTCTTTTTCTTTTTTACTATGGAAAACTGCTTCATGCTTTCGACTTGCTTCCCTCCCTCCCTCCCTCTCACCCTCCCTCTCACCCTCCCTTCCTCTCACCCTCCTCTTTCTTTCATTTTATTTTCTTTCTTTCGAGGGTCTAACTATAGCCCCAGAGAGCATGGAACTCACTATGTAGACCAGGCTGGTCTCTGCCTCCTAAGTGCTGGGACTGAAGGCATGTAGCCACCACATCCTGCAGTTTTACCACTTTTATGCAATATTGGGTTTACAAAGGGAGGACATCACATTGTCCTGTAATAGAGTGTATCATCTGAGTAGGCTGTGGCCGGTCTCAAATGGGCATAGTAATATTTTAAGGCTGAGAAAATGTTTAAGGGGAGTGCAGCTAAAGTAAGCATTAGTTCTTATCATCCTGCGTGGGCTAGAATATTTCTCAGGTGCCCTGTTATTTTGAGTTCATCTGGAATGCTCTAACCTTGTCTAGCATATTCATATTTCTCATGAAATGTGAAATGTGAGCAGACCATTAAGAAGGAGGTCAAAGCCCAGTGTGGTGGTGCATGCCTTTAATAATCTTAGCCCTGTGGATGAGACAGGAGGATCAGGGATTTGGGTGTGGTGGCTCACATCTGTAATCCTAGCACTGGAGAGGCTGAGGCTGGTTTGTTGAGAATCTGAGGCCAGCTTGGTGAGACCCTATCTCAAAAAACCCTCACATATAAAAGTTCGAGGCAAGCCTGGACTACATACCTTTTTGACTGTGCTTAAATTATATTACTGATAATGCTGTGTTCCACTCAAGGCATTTAAAGTTGGGACCCACTTCTCTCACTCAACATGTGTGAAGAACTAGGGACCCACCACCCGGAGAATCCCATATTGTGTCCTTGGCACTCTTGCTTTTTCTTTGAAGATCCCCTAAGACTCTGGTTACTTCAGTAGCTAGCGCATGGTGGTTATTTCCAACACCCTTCTTTCTTCATTTGAAGGATAAAAATTTCAGAAAGGGTGGAGCTAGGTTAGTGCTTTGGGGCCAATGTTTTCTTAAAATTTTATTTATTATCTTTCTTTTTTTTGGTCTTTTTGAGACAGGGTCTCCCTGTAGCTCCAGCTGCCTGGAACTCACTCTGTAGACCAGGCTGGCCTCGAACTCACAGAGGATCTGCCAGTCTCTGCCTCCTGAGTGCTGGGATTAAAGGCTATCTTTCTTTTTTTATGTGTATGATGAGTGTATTGCCTGCATGTATATAAGTGCACCTTTGTTGTACAATGCCTGTAGAGGTCAGAAGAGGGTGTCAGATCCCCTGGAACTGGAGTTAAGGGCTGTAGTTAGCTCCCATGTGGGTGCTGGAAATTGAATCTGGGTCCTCTGCAAGAGCAGCCAGTGCTCTTATCCACTGAGCCATTTCTCCAGCCTCCAGCCTGAACTTTTAAAGACTCCCTATCACTCAGACAAAGCTCTGTAAACTTGCCCTCCACTGGCTGACCTGCCTTCCCTGCCTGAGCTGAGCATGTACTCTGCACAGTGTGAGGGCGGTGTCCCTCAGGCCTAGGCTAGACCATGTCTGCTTCCTTAGTCCATTAACCTTAACTCTAAGTTCCAGTTAATTAAATAAAGGATTAATAATAAACACTATGCAGCCTCTCCTCTACCAAACCACACTTCCAAGCAACAATCTGCCCTACACCAGCTTCACATCCCTGCCTCCCATCAGAACAATTACCTATACTTGATTTTCATTTTCTATTTAGGAAATTTTTCCACACACATGTATTAATGTATAAATAATACAATGTTCCATTGACCTTAATTTTGAATCTATATTAAGAAATTGTATATTGTTTTCTGAAATTTGCTGGGGTTTTTTGGTGTGTGTCTGTGTATGTAGGGGTGTTCATGTGCATGGAGGCCAGAGGGAGATCAACCTCAGGAACAGTCTACTTTGTTTTTTTAAGACAGCTCTTATTGGCCTGGATAGACTGGCTGGCCAGTGAGCTCCACCTCCCCAGTGCTGAGATGACAAATGTGCATGCCTGGCTTTTTACATGGGTTCTGGGAACTGAACTCAATACCTCATGCTTGCTAAGCAAGCACTTTACTGACTGAGCTGTCACCTCTGCCCTGGGATTTGCATTTTGAGCCAACATTATGTTTTTAAGAGTCAGCCTGTTGTGACATGCTGAAGTCTGTTCACGATCATTGATGAATGATCAGTGTCTGTTTTGTACAATACAAACAGTGCTGCTACGAACATTGCTGCATAGGTCTCTAAGGGCACATTTGGGGATTTCTCTAAGCATTTAGTGTAGCTCAGTGTAGAGTGTTTGATTAGCATGTGAGGGCCTAGGTTTAATATTCAGCACTGCAAACACACTAACCAACCTACCTACCTACCAACCAACCAACCAACCAACCAACCAACCAACCAACCAGCCAACCAACCAGCCACCCAAGAAAAAGACAACCAAAGAAAACAATAAGGGAAAGAAAAAAAAAAAGAATTTTTTTCTTGAAATTTTGGGGTTGAATCTGACTTTATAAGATGATACCAAATTATTTTCCCAGGCTCCTGGACCGTAGACCATTTTATACATCTCTCCCATTAGTATATAAAAATCCCATTTAGGACTGGTGAGATGGTTTAGTTAAAGGCATTTGCTGCACAAACCTGGTGACCTGAGTTCAATCTCCAGAGAAAACTGACTCCACAAAGTTGTCCTCTGACCTCCACATGTGTGCTATGCATATGCACATGCAAATTAAAAAAATTCAAACAGGAAAAAGGGAAAAATCCTATTTATTAATGTCCTCCCCAATACTTGACTCAACCGTTTTTAAAAAATATGTATTTAAATTTTTAATTGATATGTAGGAATTGTACAAGTTTACCTTTGTACAATGTGGTGGCACATGCCTGTCATTTCTATACTCAGGAGGCTGAGGCAGGAGGATTGAGTTGGATACCAGTGTGTGCTATATAGTAAGATCTTGCCTCAAAAAACAAACAGGGGTTAGAGAGATGACTCAGCAGTTAAGAGCACTGGCTGCCCTTTCAGAGGACCCAGGTTTGATTCCCAGCACCCACATGGCAGTTAATGGCTTCCTGTAATTCTAGTTCCAGGGGATCTGATGCCCTCTTCTGGCCTTTGTGGGCTTTGGAGAACATGGGTGCACTTACATTCATGCAGACAAAATATTCATACACATAAAATAAAAATAAATAAAAATTAAGACAAACAAACATAACCCAAACTACATATTTATAATAGAGGGCAGTATGACATTTGAGTACATGTTTATAGTGTATAATGATCATATTCTATCAGAATTTCTAGTCATTCCCAAATGGATAGTGTAAAACGGTATCTTATTTTGTTCTTGATTTGGGTTTCTGAGACTGTTAGTTTACCAGGAATTAAAATTCTGAAAAATTTTTATTTTCTTCCATTTTGAGTTTTGTTTTTAGTTTTTTTGGTTGATTTATTTTTCTTTTATGCCTATGAGTGTTTTGCATGCATGTATTTAAGTGCATCCAGATGTGGAGGCTAGAAGAGGGTGTCAGAGCCCCGGAACTGGAGTTACAGAGGGCTGTTAGCCACCATGTGGATGCTGGGAACTGAACCTGGGTTCCCTGCAAGAGCAGCTAGTACTCTGAACTGAGGAGCCATCTCTACAGCCCTGAGTTTTGATTTATTTATGCAAATCTTCTTACAGTACTTTGTACACATTTACCCACATCCTCTTTCACCAAACACTGATCTTTTGCATATCACTCATACTGTTCTCTGTGTCTCAAGATACCACCCTCTACCCCTGTGTGGCCCGAATTCCCTCTGAGTCTCCTGTGTGATCGGACAAATATAATATTTTATGTGAGTTTATTAACTTACAAAGGAATGAGTACCCAGTGCCTAGCCCCACACCGCAACTTAGAGCCCACCTTATCAGACCGTGTCACGCCCATAGTCACCACTAGCATTCGCTCACGCCTCCAGGGCCATCGATCGCCCCAGGTCCACA